ATAAATTTTTTTTGTCCCTCATTGAATCATTATTTCAATTCCATTACCTAATTGCCCTTGTTATATTATGCTAGTTATTTATTTAGAATTTATTATAATATATTATATATTATACATTATACATAATATGTTATAAAACAAAAATTATACATTATACATTATGTATAATATATTATTATCCGTAATCGTAATATCATATATTCATATGTTAATACTTGTTACTTAATACAATAATACATAATATTATACCATTAATATATAACATATTTACATATATGTATAATGTATCATTATTTTAATTTTGATATTTTAATTCATTATAATAAATCATAATAAATTTTTTTAATATTAGAAGTTTTAAAAAAATTATAATGCAAAACCCCAGACGAGGATTTCGGGGATTCCCCGAATTCCCCATTTGGGCATCGGGCCTAATTCGGGGATTACCCGAATTCCCTGTTCAGGCTACAAGGCAAGACCGAGGAATCCCCTTGGGCTTCTGGGGGAGCCCGACTTGGCCCAACCTAGGCTCGGCCCAACCTATGCCCATCCCTATTGCCCCTAGGCCATATAAGGCCTTTAACACCTGTGTGGAGGTCAGATTTGGCCTCTACCAACGTTGAGAGGGATAAATCCAACCTCTCTCGACGTTGAAAGGTCGAATTTGGCCTCACCTACGTGGAGACGAATCTCACCTCTCAATGCCTGGAACGCCTACTTTGAGGTACGTAGTTTTGTATGCTTATTTTTGTCTTGGTGTTGTTTGTTGGCCCTAAGTTACATTGCTATGTTGTTATTGTTGATTGGTTGCCCTTGGGTAAGTTTGTAAGGTGTTAAAGTTGCTTGGATGCCTTGAATTTGGTAAAGCCTTGGAGAATTATGGAAGTGCAGACTTCGCCGGAGCGAAGAAGAAGCTTCGCCGCGGCGAAGTAGTCTCTGTATTTTTTCGCCGGGGCGAAGAGTCGGCTGATTTTTCTAGTGAAGTTTCTAGAGAATTTTCCATATGGGTGAAGTGACCATTCTACCCCTAATTAGCAGGAAAAGTGGGGAATGAAATGCAAGGAAATTTCAAGGAGAATGCATTGGAGTGGGTGTGGATGTGTAAAGAATTAAAGGGTAAAGATGGAATTCCTAAGAAAGTGCAAGGGCAAAATGGAAAATAGTGCTTATTTATATGAGCTAGCAAGGGTTTAGCCCTAGAAACCCTCCCATTCTCTACAACCCATACACTTCTACTACTCTCCATTTCTCTCAATTCTTCATCCATTTTGCTAAGGAAATTGAGGGCTTTTGGTTGGATTTTGACAAGGATTTGATCCTAAGCATCAAAAGGTAAGGATTCTTACTCTAGATATAAGATTAATTTATGTTAGTATGAAATTCTTATAGAGTTTATGCTTAGAGTTTGAGAAAGAGAACAAGTCCAACAAAGGTAGTGAGCTTTTGTGAAACTACTCAAGAAAAAAGTAAGTAAATCCAACCCTAACCCTTGTTTGAGCAAGTAAAACATAGAGATTGTTTTATGTGAATGTTATATGACGTTCATATGCTTGAGATTTGTGTATGAAACTTGTTATTGAGTTTGATGATGATCCATGAATGGGTTTTCTACATGAGAAGGGTTGGTTGAGTTGATAGAATTTGATAGAAGTTGGGTTGAATTTAGAGAGAGTTTAAGAGCATTTATGAAGTGTATTTTCTTGGCTAGGATTTGTGATGATTCAAGGGAGATCTACTCTAATTATGTATGGTTTAAGAAAGAAGGAGAAGTATAGTTAAAGTAGAAGTTAAGTATGCATACTTGTTGTTTGATAAAATGCCTAAGAGAAGCATATGCATGAATAGAGAAACTTAATTTTGTGCAACATTGCATATTTGCATTGCATAAGTGCATCTAAGAAAGAAGCATAAGCATGAGCCATGCACATGCATATATTTGCATATGCATAAGAACTTAAAGAAAGAATAAAGAACTTTAAGAATAAAGAGAAAGAAAGAAAATTAGAGAAAGAAAAGTGCTAAAGAAGAGAAAAGAATAGGTTGTTGCGATGGGGAACCCGTGAGTGCTAAGAAGAAGAAATTCTCACATACACGCCACCTTAATTGAGTGGCATAAGAAGAAGAAGAATTTGTACGGCCTGTAAGAGTGTATGTGGATAAGGGTTGTACCAAGAAGAATTTCCTACATGCACGCCACCTTAATTGAGTGGCCTAAGAAGAAGAAAGACTTTGTACATTCCGCAAGAGTGCATGTAGATGAGGACTATACTCACTCACACGGCCAGGGTTCCAAATCCATGCATCAACCGAGTCCGATCGGCACAGAAAAAGAAAAAGAATACGAATAAGAATAAGAATAAGAAAGAATGAGAAAGGATGAGAAAGCTTGAGCAAGCAAAAAAAGAAACAGAATAAGAACGAGAAAGAAGAAAAGAAAACGCATGTCTATGCATTACTACATATGCATTTCATTCATGCATGTTACCATGATTTCCATCATGGTTAGTGAGACTAAGAATAGAAAGAAAGAATAGCAAGAAAGAAATAATAGAAAGAAAGAACAGAGAGAATTAGAAAGAAAGGAAAGAACAATGAGAACTAGAAACAGAGAAAGAACAAAGAAAGAATGAAGAAGAAAAAATAGAGTAAGGAAAGAACCAAAGTATAAGTCGTGGGGATAGAGGAGTAGAGGATTTACTTACTAAGCATTTTTGTGCTCACCCTGTTGTTTTTTCATATTTTGTAGGAAATAGGTGAGAAGCGGTCAGATGGACGTCGACAAACAGAGAGAAATGGCATGACTGTCCACTGTTGTAAAAGCTTTTGTATATGTGGTTTTGCTATGTACAGAATAATATATGTTAAGTAAAGAAAATTTTGGGCCCAACTACTCTTCATTTATTAAGTATGTATATTTTTCATAGTATATATTCTAAGTATACTAGTAGAAAATGAGTTATTGCAATGCCAACATAGGCTAGGTCTAGCCTCTATGGCACCTGAAAAGGCTAAATCAACATAGTGTAGGTCTAGCCTCTATGGCACTAGAAATGGCTAAATCAAGCCGTAGTCAGTACAGAGAAAAGCTAGATAATGGCCTTTATTGGTGCCAATGTGAGGCCCCAAAGCCTTTTTGTCATTGACGAGAGGCTTCAGGCCTTTGGCAACTACAGCAAGGCCGCCACTAGCCTCTAGCCCTATAACAATTACCAATAGACCCCAGGGCTTTTAGCAGCTACCTTGAGACCATTAGGAGGCCTAGTTAGTAAATTCGTGTTTTATATGCAAATTATACACTAAGTCATATAATTCGCGTATAAAACACGAATTCTTGTATTTTATAAGCAAAACCAAATTATACCTTAATTATATGCCCCAACCGTATAATTTGATCGTATTTTTTAAAATAAAATTTTGTTATTTAATGAGCTAAAACGACGTCTTTTTAGGTGAAGTTTAGTTAAAATGACATTGTTTTATGCTTAGTCTCTTTTGGCGCCTTCTTCCTCTCTTCTTCTCTTTTTTGGCGCCTTCTTTCTCTCTTCCTCTTTAACTATTCTTCAACAAGTACCACTCTTCGTCTCTTCTTCTTCAACTCAATGACAAATAAAATTGTTTGTTTTGTTTAGTAATTGGTCCACTTCTACAATATTTGTAGTAATTAATTACGAATCAAATAATACAATTTTTTATAAACTGAAATATTATAATTAAAAAAGATATAAATCATACACCTCTAAGGAAAAACAAAGGAGGATTAATTCAATGATCATAAAAAGTGTTAAAATCAGGATTAATATTGCCATTTTTTTCAAAACGTATTATTAACAATATACCGTATTAAACGCGTATATACTCATACCGTATTTTTTCCGTATCTGAATTTTATAGCCGAATTTTTATAAACGTATTTTTCACTATTTGTCATATCATACCTGTAAAATTCTTGTATCATTTTTTTGCCGTACTCGTATATACTAGCTAGGTTGGGAGGCAAGGGCAATGGTGGTGGCGACAGTAACGAGTACACAATGGGGGGTTGGGTTGAAAAAGGACTAGTATCATTTTTCTAAGTAATATGGATCGGGGGTTGAGGTTGAAAAAGGGGAAAATGGTCTTTTCAGTGATTAATGGTTGTCTATTAACAACAATGGAAACATGGACAAAATAGAGGTTAGGATTTTATTTTCAAAACCAGTTAATGTTCACTGAATAAGTGAAACGCGTGAGGGTTAAGATAAAATTTTCCATTTATGTAGAGAAAAACTCAAATATTTTAATTTTATATGATTTGTCCACAAATAAGGATTCATTTCAAATCACACAAATCAAGATGGTTTACTTGTAGTGGATGTTTATGAATTTTGGCCGGATTCCATCAAATTACTTTCATTGTTGTCTAAAGTTACATAGATAAATAGAGTTTTCAAAGACTATCATTTCGGTATCTACAAGATTGTTTTAAATGTAGGCATGTCACCAATTTTAGAAAAATTGAAATTAAAATAATTATTGATGATGGGTATAAATTTATCCAAATTAATGATTCTTAAAATTAAGTAATTATGTGATGACATAATTATAGCTTATAGTTACTCTAATAAATACGAGGATAAATCCGACAAAATATGTGAAAGTTTTTATTTAGACATTATCAATTTAAAAATAAATAAATAAAACAAATCACATGTCTTGAGGATTTATGCTTCTTCCAAAATTAAATTCCAATGGTCAGTTGAACTTATTTGAAATATGACTTGGTTGAAATGAGCCAACTAACCATATAGTATTTGCTACCTACTTCTTGTCAACTGACGCTCACCAAACCTAAGATAAATTAATTCAGATAACTTAATTCAGTTTAGGTATTAGGCATTTTCATTAAAGTCAACCCATGGTTAAAACAATTTTTTTGAATCTCACAGGAAAATATGAAAGCAGAAACAAATCCAACTGAAAAGAGATAACATAACAGCTATATGTAATAGAACCACTCAAATTAAGGGGAAAAGAATATATTTGATTTTGATTTCTGACTAATTTTTCTTTACAGAAGTACAAAAAAGAAAAAATTAGTATTAGTTCAAATCAGCTCTAACAAGCATAACACCAATCAAATTATACAACCAATGAGCCCCCTAAACAATGCTTAAAACACACTCTGCAAATTATCAAACACACATCTAACCACAGCACCAAACCATATGGTTTCAGCATACACCAGTTAGGTTGCACATGGGCAATAAAACAAGCAGCAGCAACCACAATACACCTACTCTAAATTTAGCAGAGTAAGCTTCATCACCAATTATGTTCTTCCGAAGTGCAGTGAAACACCCGACTGCCTAGATGTCCAGAAGCTAGTATCCCAACAAATCAATGAAACTTCACCACCATATGGCTGTAGTGTTGTCTTACAAATTCTGAAAGATGTTCATGGTCCTAACTACGTGATGCTGAAGTGGAAACAGTCGGCAACTCCCAGGTGGTTTGCAAGCCGGTGGATACAAGACTCTACAACTTCAGATTTTGGAGAGACGGAATTTGGAAGATGAGGTAGGCAAACAGGCAGGTATTCGTCACTATCTTCCAGAGGGCAGAAGAAAGAAAGCACACAACGGCAGAATATAAATCTGTAGATAAGACATTTATGAGAATATATTTGCAATTTTTACCTTATCCAAAAAAAAAAGAGAGAATATATTCGCAAAAATAGAAGATAGATAAGTGTCAATTCAAAGACCACTATCAAGTTCAGACAGGAAAGCCCTTCAGGCCTATTTATAATAAGAAGTTCAATCTTAGAGGTTATGTGTGATTGGGGTGAGATTAGTCCCAGTAGAACTCATCTTAAACACAACCTACAGCCATTCAGTAAAAAAATTATAGATATATACCTAAGAATTAGCCGTCGTAGAAATGGATCAGATAGAACTTGTGCCCAGACAATATCCAAGTTAGTTGACTTGCAGAGAATGATCTCCCACTCAGAGAACGAACTGGAGAGTATGTTCTGTGCACCATTGTAAGAATCCTAAAAGCAGAACATCATAAACAAATAAGGCCAACTAGAATACAATGAGCCATTAGGATGCTCAAAAGTATAGCAATCGACTTACTGTATCAGCATCAGAAGCAGAAAGGCCAACCATTTGACAGAATGCTGGCAGAGGAGCAGTCAAGAAATAAGTGAACTGGCTTCCATTATGTGTTGTATCAACAGTAGATGAATTCTTAAATGCCGGCCTCAAAGGTGAAAGAAACAAGGCAGCTGTCTCTCCCCTTTCTGAACCATGCAATACCTGAAAAATAATTTAAAAGCATACACAAAGAGGTCAACATTAACTAAAACTTAGAAAGAGCAAAGTTGAAGTGCATTAACATTTACTACAAGTTTGGAACACCATGAATACAATTGAAAACAAAATCTAACATAAAATTGGTCACAAAACATACCATCCAGATATGTTGGTATGCGAATATGGTCTTAATGGTACAAAATCACATTTGAATGCAACTCGATTGTGAGGCTAAGTTGTATTTTAACAAAAACGAATGAATGTACAATCTCCATACACTCAATGCTCAATACACTTACCGAATCATTAATTTGAATTGTCAGGGCCTTGTCAGGTCTTGCATACATACACAAGGTCAAAATACATAAAAGGGAGAAAACCTAATTGGTCTCTGATAGTTCATCTCTTGATTGATTTCTAACAAACATTTTCATTTGTAGAAAGTATCTCATTTTGAACCATAAATTGATTGGTAGTTATAAAAAACTTCACAGTAAATTTGAAAAATAAAGGTATAAATCAATAGGGAGCACAAGCACCAACATTCAAAACTCCTGTGCAATATTTTAATCCTTGATTTACTCACTAAAATAACAAGAATTTGAAACTGAGATAGAACAAAACTAGAACTCATGTCCTACTCAACCTCCTCCCACATTAGAAATCTAGTTTTCATATTATCTTCTACTAGGCTGATAAATCTCCAAAGATGCTTAACTTTTTGAAAGGAAGGAGACTTCTGATGATACATTCACCCAAGTTCATTCATATATTCATTTATTTGACCTTTTACCACAAGTTGATTAGTTATTCCTGTTCCCTTTAGGTTAGTTTACATTTCATTCACATTCTTTCTTTCAATTCAAAATGTGCTATCTCTTCCCTTTACATACAATTATTTGTGTTCGCCAATTACAAGAATTTTATGTATTAAATTGCTTTAGACATGATACATGCATTACACATTAAAGCAGGGCTAATATTAATAAGAAGGCCTACCTGTTTGGTTACAATGTAAATGAGACAATGAAGAACCAGTTTTTCTTTGTGTTAGTACCACGTGATTATCTCTTTAACCACCCATTATTTTCAGTCTTCCAAACAGCAGTACAGTGACTTCTACAGCAATAAACTTCATGAATATGGGACCAGTTTAGTATTTGTTCAGCAAATTTTGAGTAATTTTTACTATTATACATCCACCTCAGACATTGCAAATTTACAACGGAGAGAGAAGAAACGTATGCAGTTGTGCAATTTTATTTCGTAGATCTTGTACGACAGAACACCATATTAGCACACTGGGCAAATCTTGCACTGATATTTTCAAAGGTACCAAAAAATTCCTCCATAATGTGATATGTTGCAACTAATAATTAGGCAAAAACGTTCCCAAATGAAAAATAAAACTTTCTAGGGCCAATAGAACTTATCAAATTTCATTCAATACCATGCTTTATTCCTAAACACAAAATCTTTTCTACTTGAAATCTTGATATTTTGTTACCAACGTGAATAGGACTTTAATATGTCACAACAGCTATACTAATTACAGAATTAGACCAACTATCATGAATGTAAAAGTTCATTAAAATTAAATGTGACTACTATACTTCTTTATTCTACAAAAAATCAGAAAGAATGGCTTAAATAATTTTGAGAAAAACATAATTCAACTTATGGCAGCAAAACGGCTGTCTAAACTATAAATGGATGCAAACTGAACCAGAATTGCCCAACAGATCATACACAAGTTATGACAAACCTGCCTTGAATGCATGGCTGTTGTCACTATCAATAATCAAGAACAAAGGTCTCCGGGTAAAAGGAATGATATCACCAGGGTAGAGGTTATTTGGACCTGAAAAGACAAGAAGAGCATATATGAGAGTGGAAGAAAAAATTACAGAAATTCTTCAATTTTATAGCAAAAGGATAATAGACAAAGAAAATACATATGAACAGAAGTTAATCCATACACAAAATCTTGGAAGAGAGACTAAAAACAGCATAAGGTAAATACAGGTGCATACCACCATTCCCTCTAGGACCCAACCACAAATAATTTTCATAGAGGTCACTTGACTCTTTCTTCCCATTAATATGATATTCAGGCATAGAGTTATTCTGTTTTTGGGAGACCCGAGACAACACTTTGTTATTTGAAGATTTCCCTGATCCTTCAGAACTTTCCATTTGAGCAGCATTACTATGACCAGCCTTTCCTGCACAATTGATTATCGAGGTCAATAAAAGAATAACAAAAACAACACAAATATATGACTTGTTTGAACTTTTAACTAGCACTGACGAAGAAATTAAACCTGAGGCTGATAGATATATTAACACAATGCTCTCTGGTGGAAGCTCCTCACAAATTGTTGCAATTACCTGTCAATGCATCATCATTTAAACCTTGGTAAAAATATATCCAAGACAAAGGCAATATAAAAATGGCCACATCTAATACAGAAAACTGGCTACTGACATGCCAACTCTATACCATTGAGACAAAGGCTTTGCTGAGTTAAAATCGAGTTGCAGATTGTTGGATTTTGGAGAATCCACTTTTGGCATGAAACACATAACAAAAGCACACAAAGTTGACATTCCCGCAAAATCCATACACAACAATATATAAGGAGATAAATGTTGTGTGAAAAAGGCAAAAGCTTATATTGTAGAAACTCCTATACAAACCAAATGCATGGCATTCAGAAAATAATCAAACATGTATTTAAAGAAAAATATTGATATCCATATGTCCATAGTTATGGGAGAAACCTACAACAAGAGACTGACCGCTCAAAAGCTCAGTCTGATACAGAAGCAGGGAACTATAATACATAAGACAGAAACTGCAGTAAATTCATTAATGCAATGGCTTTAGAACTAACCGCCACCAAATGTGTCACAGATGGACGATAAAGAACAGCTTTCCTAGGATTTGTAGGTAAAGTTGGATCAGTCATATCCACTGCAAAGTTTATGTCTATCGCCCCAGAAGCTCCAGAATGATCAGTTGAAGCACCAGAATGATCAGTGGATACAACTGGGCGCTTCTGGAAGAAAGATCCACTAGGTTCCCACTCCAAACATTGTAACATTCTGTAAGTGTCCAAAGTAAGTTCAGCAAATTTAACCTGAAAAGAAATTATTCACAAAGAACTAAGATTCCTCTTTGCAGAGTATAATTCTGCTAATAACTTCCAATAATCTCATATTATGACCAGTCATAATCTTGAAATATATTACCTCATTCCGGTGATAGCTTGTCAGGATTGCATCTTTAAATTTTACAACCTTCTTTGCATGAAAACGAGCCACATATTGAAGAGAAGTTGACTGAGTATCAAAGGTAGGGCAATATCGCAATGGCCTCATATTTGTAAAAGCAGCATCAACTTTTGTAAAGCGAAGAATTTCATTAACCACTAGTTTCCACTCTTTGAAGTTTGTTTCCTACAGATAAATAAACCATATTTTCTTAATCATGCACCAATACAACAAAAGTTGAATATGAATTCACTCATAAGAGAGATCCATGAAGTGCCACTTTATTCATAAAAACACAAGTGCCTCATTGCGACAGTATTTAATCAATTAAAGAGAAAAGAAAAAACGTAAACATATTTATCCTTTCTCAATTTTCATCACAAAAGGTTAAGATTTAGCCTTCACCTAAAATCACAGCTCAAGTTATTAGCATAAAAGGCAAATTCACCCTTTTAATTACATTTATCACAAAACATGAAAGTAACAGCTGAAACTTTTACCTCGCGAAGTCAAATCTAAACTCATACAAAGCAAATGATCAGGACAAATGTAAAAATGAATCAATTGAAGCAGAGCCTAGCATCAAGAGAGAGCGAAAGATAAACCATCTAGTCTGAGAAAAGACAAAGCTATCCAGACAATCCAACAAGAGTTTGCAACTTTCCAGATCAAAATTCACTATTTCTGCCAAAAGTTATGGCCTAATTGCTGTGATTCTTGACAAGTAAATAAAAGAACTTAATCTTTGATTAAAATCAATCAGCCCAGAAAACTGTGTAGTTGTACAAGTAAAACAATAGTTCCCAGAAAAAATATGAACACCAAAAAAAAAAAAACTACAAGTTTCGCGGATTAAGATGATCTCTATCTGATAGAACTGGAAACTAAGCCTTATAATTCTTTGTTGGGCTAATGAAAGATAAAATAAAAGGAAAAAAATTATATTCCACTGTCTAATTAAGAAATAAAATTAAATTATCTAGAAAGTCGTTTTTCTCAGTTTTCTCGGCAACCAAACAAAGCCTAATTTTAGTAAAAAACACAGAACTCTCATAAATTTCTAAAAATTGAAGTTTAAACTTTCCAATGAAAAAATATACATAATCTTTTACAGCAACCAAACAAAGCTAAATAATGAAACTAAACAAAATTCAGCTCCATTTAAAAAAAAAAAAAAAAATGAGAAAAACATGAACGTTACCTGAAAATTGGCCTTGCAATCTTCAACCAATTCTCTAAACCGGTCAACAAGAACCTTAACCATCTCAGTCCGGCTCAAAATCAAAGAAACAAGCAAAAACCTCGCATAAAACCTCAACTCCTTGAACCTAACTCCCAATTCCTTAACTTTAACGCCTTCAAAATACCTCCTACTCAAAATCGCCTCATAAAAGACGTAAGCTTCAACAATAAACCTGGCCTCGCTGGTCCTCATGTACTGGTTGAAGTAGAGCTGGCCGATCCGGCTGGCGATCTCACCGATTTCCCAGCGGTTGAGACCGGACTCCACCAGCTTCACCCGGTTCTCCTGCTGGTACTTCCATAAGCGCATGTAAGCTTTAAAGACCTTGTGAAAGTGGTGGTGGTGGTTGTGTGATCGGTATCCGTATAATGGGAGGTCACGGACTCTGGCGAATTTGCGGTCGGCGCTCTCGACCAGAGCCCGAAACGTTTGTGAAACAACGGCGTCGTTTTGGGACATGGAAGAGACGGTGACCTTCGCTTCACGTTGCTAGTAGTGTGTGGCTCCGGTTTGTGCCATTTTTTTGGGAAATGAGAAAGAGTAAGAGAGAGAGAGAGAGAGAGAGAGGGGAGGGTGGACGGGACGCTGTAGTGTAATATGTATCTGGATGTGAGCTGTGGTTTTGTGGTGCTGTGTCAGCATGAAATTCTGTTTTTGTTTCAACAGTTTTTTTATTTTTTTTTAATTTCTGTTTTGTGAGTGTGTGTGTGTTGAAAGCATTTTTATTTACTAATTTCAGTAAAGGTTTCTGTGGGTGGCGGCGTTGAATAAAGCGAGAGTTGTATTTTCGATATATATTAATAAAACAACAAATAAATGATATTCAATATACAATATTAACAATTATGGAATGAAAAATAAGTTGATGGGGGATGTAATGGGCAATAGAAATCACATGGTTTGTATAATAACATTAATTCCATAAAGAAGATGAATTAAATTGTGATGATAAGGTCAATGCATTGCAAAACACATTTTTTATATTTCAACTCTAAAGTCTAAAATAATGTTCAATCATTTGTCAAAATTAATAATGCCTCTGCCCATCAATCATCACCTCATTCCTCCTCTTAAGCCTTTTCATTTGTCAGAATTTCACAAGTCAAATATTTTGTAAGACAATTTCAAAAACCCAACTACCCACAAAACCATCTACAATCCGAATCTTTTTACAACAATGCTATTTATTATTATTATTATTATTATTATTATTATTATGTCAAAGCAACAATAACATAAATTAGCTCAAATTTTTTCTTGAGTGCTTTTGGACTAATCTAAAACAATACCCAGAAAATAAAAACAGCAAAAAATGTCTTCGTTTAAATATTTAAAAATGATTAAAATAGATTTGACATTGGCATGGTGATCTAAAGAGGAAAAAGAAAAAGGAAAGAAAGGGAAATAATAGAGTGTGGTCCAAAAATGAGAATGGATGATTAGGCACTTATGGTCCCTATCTTTTATTTTTAAGAGCTTACAACAACAACTAATTCTAAGTTCTCCAATATATCATGTTGTCAGAAGATTTTCAAAAAATAATAATAAAAAAAAAACAAAGAATATAAGGAATGTGGAAAAGTCCCACAGAAATTGGATTGGCATCTGGTGAAAATGCTGGAAACAGTCTGAGCTGAAAGGAACATTCTGGTGAAGACAATTTTGTATAAATCCGATCTGGCAAATTCCAATTTTTCTGTCAACTCCACCTGCCTCTCCACCATGTGATCACTTTATATAAAATTATCTGAAGATGAACTGGAATGTACTTTCATGCACGGTATCTTATGAATTTATATAATTTTATTCATTTCACTTCTTTACCTCTGTTACAATTCCGATTTCCTATGATGTAACTTTTACTGTTTTACTATAATGTATTCTATCAAATCTTACACAAGTTTTACTGTGAGGGTATGATTTTTTGCTATTTATTAGAAAATTATACAATAATATTTTCTAAAATTGATAATAAAAATATTTTGAGAACACAAAATTAAACTTTTTGCTTTCATTTCGAATTTAATTTTGAAAATAAAAACACTACCTTCTACGTAGCTAGTATGTCATAAAGTATGCTATTATGACACAAGATAGCTAACCTATAATTTGTTTTCATTATATAAAGTGTTGTACATGATTATGGCAATGAGTAAGTCAGCCTTTATTAGTTTTATTTTTATTGGCTACAAATGGAGCCTCTCTTTCTTCTTTGTCGGGGAGCAGTGAGACTGAGGGCCATGGTCGTAGCCCTTGGATAATAATCTCTCCTTCAAGTTCAACATAAATTAAATGGGAATTTAATCTTATTTAATTAATCTCTAATATAAAACAAATGATAGAATTTGTAATTAATCACTCCTGCTTTTTATTATCACCATGTGACCTAATTTATGGGCAATCAAAGCAACTAGTAACTGTTGAACAATCATGTTTCAGCTTAAAGGTTATTTTGGAAACTGGTGGAGATACAAGTGTTTATTACAAATTCAGCACTTTGTAAAGTAATGGAGGAAAGTTTGGAATCAAATTTACAGGAAATGGCATGATTGTGTGATCTCATCAGACAAGCTTGAATCAGACTTGAACTTCACTTTTAATTTTTGAAGCATGCAGTTGCAGATCTCACACTCTCCCAACACTTGCTGGAAACATAGTAACTTTGCCATTCCGCATTTTTGTTTTGTGTGAAAACATTTGCTTGCATGGACGATGCCATGTTTACTATTTAATTACTTGGATGAGTAAACTTATAAGGGATACGTATGAGATGTTACGTTTGAATGTGATTAAAGTTTTCACTCTTCAATTCTGGACATGGAGAGAGTTGATATAAGGTAATTTTTAATATTTTGCTAGCCGTTTTATTGACGTTTAATCAAAAGGGTGTGTTTTTGCCATGAAATAACAAACAGTTCAGGTTTTTGTGATTCAATGTTTTAGTCCCTCTTGTTATTTTCAAATTACAGGATTAATTTGTAGTCATAAATCACAATTATTATTTAATGGATGTGGGCGTCGTCAAAGAGTTGGTATAACTCCCCTTTATATTAACTTATATAAAGAAATTCATGCATAAATGATTTAGTATTTTATCTTATCGGAGCTCATGATGTAGTACTACAACATAACTTACCAATAATAATATTGTTTTTGTCCCCATTTATATCAATTACATAATAGGGTGCATTAGGAGCATATCATATTTTATTATATGGGGATGTTGTATTAATAGAAAAATAGATCACTTGAAGATTATTGAGAATGTTTAAGGAAATGTGTTTGGTTGGTTGAAATAAATTGGTGAATATGTTACATTTACATATTTGGTTGGGAGGATAAATGGGTGGGTATGTTATATAGATTACTAAATTACTCTCATTTTTAAATATTAATATAATATTATTTTTTGAACAATTCTTTTAACCCCTTACATTTGAAATTTTGCTAAAACACCTCAGCTATATAAAACTTTAATTTATAGCAAAATCACCCCCACCCACCCCAAGCCATTGTTGGCAGCTAGTCACCACCGTCAGCCACCGCTGGCAATCGACGAAATGGCATACAACTGGCCATATATGGTCAAACGTGCGCCAACAAAGCCATTTTCGGCCATGGATCTGTCGTTTCACGACCAGATCTATGGTCGTCTCACGGCCAAAGATTTGGCCATAGAAATGGCCAGATCTGGCTGTTTCCAACCATGGATATGGTCGGTCATGCGCTATTACAGCGACTGCCGCTAGCAACCGACGATGGTCTTGGGTGGCTGGGGTTGTTTTGTTAACTTTAAAACTTTTTTGTGGCTGAAGTGTTCTAGCTAATTTCTCAAATGTAAGGGGCTAGGTAATTGTTATTTGGTAGGCATTTGAGGAGAATTGTGTCCGAAATGATATTTAATTAAGGGCAAAATATGTATAAAAATCAGATTACCTCGGTAATCTTTTAATAACAACCCTTGGGGAGGGTATCTGATTACCCCTTACATTACCAATAGTAAACACTATTTGCAATAAAAGATACACATAATATTTTATTACTTGCAAACCAAACAACGGAATCTTGCAAAATAAACGAAGATTACCCCAATTATCTTATATGACCCCGAACCAAACACACCTATAATAGGAGCACATGATTTAGTGTATTATAATAAAACTTATCAATAATGATTTAGTATATATAAATCATTTGTGATTGGATGATAACTCTAAATTTAACTTCTGACATATCTTACTCAAATGCTACCAGTAGTTTACATGAAGAATGAATTTCTAATTGTTAAGAACTTCTTGCCTTGACTTTTGTGAATCCTTTATACTTTAATATCACTCTTAATTTATACTTATTTTATTAAAATGAACAATTTGAGTTATATATATATAAGATTTATCTGTAAAATATCATATGGATTTATCTGTAAAATACCATTTTAGTCCAGTAATGATGAATCTAATAACATTTAAGCATAGTTCTTACAAAATTTATGTACGAGGGCCATTGCTAGCGAAGCCATTGTTATATATATATATATATATATATATATATATATATTATGATTCATCTATAAATATCTTTCAGTCCATATGATGAATCTAATAACATTTAAGATAGTTCTTACAAATTTATGTACGAGGGTCCATGCTATATATATATATATATATGGATTCATCTGTAAAATATCATTTCAATCCAATAATGATGAATCTAATAACATTTAAGCATGGTTCTTACAAAATTTATGTACGAGGGCCATTGCTAGCGTAGCCACTGTGGTCACAAGTGTAAGCCTCGGCCCATGTACTAAGCCACATACTTTGGATTTGAAAGTTCTCTTGGGTTTGAGTTTGGAGAGGTTGTTTTGTTGATTTTATTTGCAAATACGTTTAGATATATGGGAGTTTGATTGTGTTTTGTTACTAGGATGATTATGAGTGAGGGGGGTTTCACTGTTGAGGGCTTGGGAAGGCGGCTTATGGTTGTGACCAATGTTCTGAAAATTAGATCGAGCCTTAACTCACTCAAGGGTCCGGTTCCCAGTTTGATCGGTCGGTTGGACCGTATCATGTACAATTATTTTTAGTCCCCAAATGCTTAAAATTCATCAAAAACACCCTAAATAATTACCCATGAGTCCCTAAAGATTTGAAATCTATCCAAAACACCCCTGTAATCTGGGCAGTCGTACGAAGAAACTGGTGAGTGGTGGCGACAACGATGATCGACGACCAATTGAAGTTTGGAATGATGGGGCTTTTGATGTATAAGTGCTGGTGAATCTTATGGTGGTGTCAATGAGTTCTAATGGCGTTGAAATCTATCGGAATCAAGAAAGAAGGTCGACGAGTGTGTGAACAATAGGTGGATGGTGATCGACGGCCAATCGAAGTTCGGAATGATAGGGCTTTTGATGTAGAGGTGTCGGTGAATCTTATGGTGGTGTTAGGGAGTTCTAATGGCGCTGGAATTTGCCAAAATCAAAAAGGAAGACTGACGATTGCATGAAAATGGCGAGCGATGAAAGGCTGGACGACGGCCATAAAA